TCAAGGCTAGCACTCTACCACTTGAGCCATAGCACCACTTCCAGTTTTTTTTTTCTTCTGCTTATGTGGTGCTGAGGAATCGAGCCCAGGGTCTCATGCATGCAAGGCAAGGGCTCTACCACTGAGCCACCCTCCCAGCCCTAGATATTTTCTTGAAGGTGAAGGAAGTCTGCTGCTTCAAGAAAAAAAAGTAACATTTGTTGCCAATGTTGAAGTTGTAATAGATATATTACTTCCTAGCCAATTTTTTAAAATGCTAATATCATACTTGAGAAGTCAGAGGCAATGTACTTTCTCTATAGGGCAGATAGAGGCACTAAGCTAACACAATAGAGAGTTTTATAGACTGCCTGGCATGTGTTAAGGGCTGAATTGATGATGATGGTTTCTTTCTTTCTTTTTTCTTACTGGAATTTTTATGTTTTTTATATATATGTTTATATATAAATTGTGAAAATACTGTACAGAGGGGTTACAATTACATGAGCAAGGTAATGAGTACATGATGATTTCTTTTTTTCTTTTCTTTTTTTTTTTTGCTTATGTGGTGCTGAGGAATTGAACCCAGGGCCTCATGCATGCAAGGCAAGCGCTCTACCACTGAGCCACCTTCCCAGCCCCTACATGATGATTTCTATACAACAATACTGAATTAAAAAACAAGAACAAGGCCAGTAGCAGAAAAAGTTGCTTCTTATTGTGAAGGAAGCAACTGGAGAAAGGCCCTGCTGAGCCAGAGTTGTCCTCCTTTTACAATAGAGCAGAAAAAAAATGGTAACAGGAATGTAATAAAATTAGGAGGGGCATTGAAGTACTGGGTTTGAGGCAAAATTTCTTATTTCTCTAGGAAAATAAAGAGGACTGTTTGTGCCGTGGTTAACATGCATATAGTAACACAAAACATTACCAAAATAGCTCTCAAAGCTTCCTACTTACAAAACTTCACCTCAGTCAATGCCAACGGTACACAAGGCCATCTGTGTTCCTGACATACTGAAAGCGACAGCTGCTGCGTATGACCCAATCATTATGCCATTAACATCTCACCTCATCTGATTAGATAGATGTGTTTTCCAAATGGACGTTTTTCTGCCAAGGCGTTAACTCTGAACTAAAAGGAATTCAGTTCTGTCATATTTGGGGCAGAGACAGGCTATGAACAATGGAGAAGGGAAAACAAAAGTTCAGATAGGTATGGAATTAGCACGGTAATGATGAAGAGATAAAAGCCAAAAAGAATGGAGGGAGTAAAATAAGGAAGGAGGGAAAGAAGCAAAAAGGGAGGGAAGGAAAGAGGGAGGGGGGAGGGGGAGGAAGGAAAGAAAAAATAAGGGAGAGGAGAAGGGGAAATGAAGGAAGAAAGGAAGGAGATCTGAAAAGGTTGTAAAAAAAAAAAACCATGAAAAAATAGCGAGGCTCTTTAAAACATAGCTTTTCCATTGTCCAAATACCCTTCTGTTTCCTGTGATGGCTGAATCCATGTCTTGTACATTCACATCGGTTCTTCTGTTGTGTGTGGGGAAGAGCAAAGATCCTCAAAATCACCCACGGAGCAAAGATCCTCAAAACCACCCACGGAGCAAAGATCTTCAAAACCACCCGCGGCTGCCCTCCGAGATCTAACTAAAAGGTATTTCTCTAGAAGCAACTACTGTGCTACTTTCTTCCTGAATAAGAAGATGATATTTATATACAATTCTGAGGTCAGCCAGGCTTATTCTCGCAGCCTATCCCTTTGTGAAGAGGAACATGTTTCCTCTTGGATCATGGCCACTGTTCTCACCTGTCCTACCTGGAACTGTTGCTTTGCAAGTGAAACCATGAACCCTCAGCTTAGGGGAAAAGTTGCCTGTTTTCAGTCAGAGAGTAGCACTGCATGGAGCCGGGAGCAGCTGTGTGGGCTCATAATTAACCTGAGAACCATCCTGCAAGAAACAGCTATTGCAGTAGCAATCTGCCTGTCAGTTCCAGTCCAGGAATTCCAATTGCTATGTCGGTTGTTATGGAAACAGACCACAGTGCTTCCTAAAGAATTCATTATTCCAACAGATATATATTTTTTTCTCATCATTAATAGGGTATCCAAATGGGTGATTCAGACATAATGGAAAGAGGAGCTCAGAAAAAAAGCTAGTGATTAGAGAAGACTTCTTAGGAGCCGGAAGTGAAACTTGACGTCCAGGCATGATTAGATAGGGAGGAAGACATTGTTAGTGAAAGGGCTAAGGAAGAGGCCAGGTCACAGATAATAGGATTGCAGGTGGGACTGGAGCCTGAGGCTGATGTAGGAGTGTCCAGGGAAATGGGAAAGACACATTGAGGCCAGTCAAGAGAGTCTAATGAGGCCAGTCTAGGCCATCTGGAACCTTCTATTCACTAAAAAGAAGTAATGAATACTTTAAAACACAGGGAAAATGCTGTAGGAATGGTAATTTTGTCTTATGAATAAAAAACTGTAAGAGGGCCAGAAGTAATGGCTTGTGCCTGTAACTCCAGCTACTGGGGAGAGGAAGATCAGAAGGATCAGGGTGTGAGGCCAGCTCTGGCAAAAAGTTATTGAGATCTATCTGAACCAACAAGCTGTATCTTAGCTATGCATCCTGAGAGGCATAGGTAAGAAGATTAGAGTCTAAGGCCAGCCCTGGCAAAAAATATGAGACTATCTGAAAAACACCTACAGAAAAAAAAAAGGTGAAGATATGGTTCAAAGTGATAGAGCACCTGCCTACCAAGTATGAAGTCTTCAGTTCAAATCCCAGTACCACCCAAAATAACAAATAAATAAATAAATAGCAGTGAGAATGTCAATCCAGTGCTAATACTGTAGCACTGATAGAGGGAAGTGGAAAAATTAGTAATCTATGCAGACTGAACCATACTTATGCCCCTAAAATCATCTGAGTCATGTTACCCATGCAGCTAAGTTGTGTCTCTGACATCCTAACTATTATTTTATGAGCTTTATATTGATCTGTGATAGTGCAGCCCCAATTACCATGACGCTATATAAGGAAGAACTTAGTGCTAACGCCTGTTTCCCTAGCCCAGGGGAATACCTTAGACCTCAATACAACAGTGGCTCAAGTCTTTCTTTTTACCTGAGTAGTGACTAACTAATAAACTGAAATACAGGAGAGTTGGTTAGATAGAAGAGAAGGCTTTTGCTCAGATCTAGCAGCTGCTTCTGGGATGAGGTCTGAGGCTCTTGGAGGGTCTCACGCCAAGTCTAATGCCAAAGATTTTAAATTGTGCTCTCTGCCTTTTTAAAGGGCACAGGATTTTTTCAGCGGGTAAGCTGAAGTCTTTAGTTATGTCTAGACAGAAGTGACATTTCAAAATACATTCCCAAATTCATCTATGAATAAGTACTAGATGAATCTGAAATGACGTAACTGCCAGAGGCAGCACCAAGCACCACTAACATGCTGTATCGCTGCTAGAAGTTTTCAGGGCTTCGTTGTTGAAATGATTGATTTCTTTAGGATAACAGAAAGTTCCTACTTATTTTTCCTGTCAGTCATGGGGCTTGAACTCAGAGCCTAGGATTTGTTCCCTGAACTTTTTTGCTCAAGGCTAGTGCTCTACCACTTTGGGGTAAGCCACAGCCTCATGTCTTGTTTTTGAGTCATTAATTGGAGATCAGAGTCTCACAGGCTTTTCTGCCTGGCTGGCTTTGAACGATAATCCTTAGATCTCAGCCCCAGGAGTAGCTAGGATTATAGGTATGAGCCACCAGGGCCATACTTAGTTTGATTTCTAGATACCAAACTTGTTGAAATGGGTAACAGTGATCAAGATATACTTACTGTATCCATAAACTGTTTTGTTAAATGGCAACTCCTTTGTACAACTACTTAAACACAACAAAAAATAAATAAAAAGAGCCTTTCCCTTTCCTCATTTGTTCTTGAACATAAAATTTAAACAGAAACTTGAATACACTTTACGATATACATGCCAAGAAAGCTGATTATTAAAATTTACATGGAAAAGGAAATTTTTGTAGTCCATAAGCACAACCAATTTTTCTTTGAAATTATGACTTCAGAAATGTGTTTTGCTCTCTGAAAAGAATGTAAAGTAAGCAGGGGAAGAGTTCAGTCTACTCCCCAAATTAAGAACAAGGAGAGGTGGATGAGAGACAGAACAAAGGTAGAGTTCAGGAATTCTCACAGATACATTCTGTTCTCTGTGGCTGGAGTTTTCCCTCTGTCGACTCCTTTGAGAGCCTTCACTGTCTCTGCCTCCTAGCTTCCTGCATAAATGCTGCCTCCTCAGGACGCCTACCTGGGCCGCTCTCTCTGAAGTCAACATCCAATTCTACTCTAAACTTGGCTCAGAATTCCAGTTCTTTGTCTTTTTCCTACTTTTTGTCTTAAGGTGTATGGCACATTCATTATTCTCTTTACTGGAGTCCTGGTCACTGCCTGGCATGGGTCCAGTGTTCCCTGAGTGTTTGTCAAATGGCTGAGTGTGTGAGAGTTGAGTTCAGGACAACTGAACCCACACAGCACATGCTGGGATAAGGAACTGCAAGCCACAAACAACTGCCTCCAGTTGTTTGAATGATTTTGTCCAAACATTTTAAGTTCTCAGGATTTAAATTTTCTCATCTGTCAATGAGGGAGATTTACTCAGAGATGTGCAAGAAATTGTCCTGTAGTTAGCATGTAAGATTTGAAGTCTATCTGAATGTGTTTGTGTAGAAACATAGTCATGGAAGAAAGGTGCATCTTTTCATTGTCTAAATATAAATAGAAAATTTCTGGGAAACATAAAGGTAGGTGTATATATATATATATATATATATACTTAAATGATAAGCAGAAAATGTGTTCTGACAGTATTTGTGTTCTTCCCAACCTTTCTCCCCTTCTCTTCCTCTCAGGTATTGGGCCAAAAATCAAACATGACTTCAGAACTGAGCGTCTTTCTCCCCGTTCCCCACCCCTACTTATTGCTATGAGCAATTGTATGAAAAATTGAGGGCTGTTACTTACCCATCATGAAAATAATTTTATTTTTTCTCAAATCTTCCATGAAGCCTTAAAAAAAAGAGTAATTTCAATTACTGGCAAGAAATACTGTAGCAAAAGCCTGATTTTTAACTTGTTATATAACCTCAGATCATGTATTTGTGCCCAAGAATTCAACCAGCTCATCACCATATAAGAGTTAATGAGTTGCTTACTCAGACTAGCAGGGAAGCGAGGCCTCTGCCCTAGAGGCTGAAGACCCAGCCGCAGGTTAGGTTGCTGTGAGGCTCAGGGCTGGAATCGCTGAGTCCACAGACAGGTACTGCTCCAACCCACAGGACCACCCCAAGCAAAGAAGGATGCCAAAAAGCTTAGGATGAATGCTGTATGCAATCAGAGACGCTCTAGGTCTGATTCTATTCTTGGGCTGGCTGATCTTGGGGTATCTGGTCTAGGCAGGGTAGTGGGGGTGGTGCAAGTTGATTCCAGAAATAAGAATTATATTAGCTTTCAGAAAGATTTCTTTGATTGCTTTGGCAAAGCCAGGAAAAAGTCTAGAGTGGAATGGGTGGGTATGGGTGGAGGGGGCTGTGGTGAACTAGAGTTACCATTCCAAGCCAGGTTTTAATTTAATTAATTAATTAATTAATATTATTATTTTTTGTCAGTAGTGGGGTTTGAACTCTGGGCCTGGGTGCTGTTCCTCAGCTCTTCAGCTCAAGGCTGGTGTTGAGCTACAGTGTCACTTCCGGCTTTTTCTACTTATGTGGTACTGTGGAACTGAACCTAAGGCTTCATTCATGCAAGGCAAGCACTCTACCACTGAGCCATCTTCTCAGCTCCCCAAGTCAGGTTTTTAGAGTACTATGTTGACCAAACAAAATGTATCTGAGGCTAGATAATTCTGTGAGTGAAATAGATGTGATTGCTGATAGAGTAATCAGAAATATTTGAAAATCTTATCATGAGAGATGCAGAGAGAGGGAGATGGGCGGGGGAGAGGTTCCAGTTTCTTTACATGGTAGCCTATAGTATGTGTGGGAAGATCTTACATTGATCTTATGTTGCTGTTTTCTATTAAAGCAGATAATTGGTGTTTCTAATATGGAAATCATGAGGTTGAACTACTTGGAATCTGTTTGCAATCTAGGAAAGTAGCCATGGTTATTCTTACGTGTGAGGTTTTGAGGGTATGGTATTGTATGCTATTAGGTTACTAATAGTGGCTATCTAGTCAATAATGGTATAGTCATATAATGTGTTATTACTAGTTTTTAATGACTTGGGAACATGTAAATGCTATGATATGTAGAGAAATAACTATACACGTGTATATACACGTATATTCTGAATTAAGTACCAGAGGTACAGAAGATCACACTGAAGTCAAATAATGTTAGAAGGTGATCATGGCTGTTTAATCATGGGTTTTAATTTTTTTGTTGTTTAAGTATTGTAGCTTAATTATTTTTAGGCCATAAGTTTCAAATGTTTCTTATTTCTACCCCTAAAAATCTCATCAGCACGTGTGAATTTTATAACCAGAGAAAACATTTACTAGGCAGTCATTGCACATTCAATTGTGAGGAGTCCACTATTTGCACTTAGCTAAGTGACAGTTAACTCTTGGCTTATATGCAAATGTGACTTTCTCCATGAGTCACTATGATGTCATTTGGGGATGATTTTCACATACTGTGATTTCCATGATTATTAAATGACACTTTATCACCTCATGTTCAAGGATCAATACAGAATTAGTGCTGGGGTTAACACTGAAAGCTGCATCATTCACTTGGATGTGTTCACAGTCAATACTATAAACATATTTTCATGAGCCATGGTCATTACTTTCTTGGGAAGTGTAAATGTTAGAAGGTATTTAACCTATGGTTATTGATATAGTTTTTGAATAGTACAAATTTTGTGTCATTCTTATCAATTTTAAGTTACAGGAATAATTAATTTGGAGTGAAGTTTTGGGAGATTTTAATATGAAAAATATTATAAAGCAGTATTATTTTGGGTTAGGTCCCAATGGTATTCTGGAGAATAGCAAGAACTGTTTGAGAAAACAAATTTGTGTTCCAAATAGGATTTTTTTGTTTGTTTTTTGGTGCCAGTTCTGTGGCTTTAACTCATTGCCTAGGTGCTGACCTTGAGCTTTTTTTACTCAAGGCTAGCGCTTTACCACTTGAGACATAGCTCTACTTCTGGCCTTTTTGGTAGCTAAATTGGAAATAAGAGTCTCGTGGACTTTCCTGCTTGGACTGACTTTGAATGGTGATGCTCAGATCTCAACTTCCTGAGTAGCCAGGGTTACAGGCATGAGCCACCAGTGATTGACTGTTCCAACTAAGTTGAAAGAATATAGAATTAAAATAGATTGGCTCCTTTACTGAAGGATTTGGGGTAGTTAGTTAATTATTCACATATATAATTATATGCTAATTGTGCAATTATATGCTAATTATATATGTGAATCTTCCAGTGAGGCCCAAACATTAACTGTCTGCCAAACATCTTTGACCAGCACATCTTCTTTAAATTGGGCATTTGGGGAGTTATGTTTTCTGGGCCATTAGGAAGTGTATGTCTTAATGATGAGTCCAGTTGGTTCTTCATGTGGACCAAGAAGAGAGATCCATAGAGTTCCACTCCCACTCATATTCCCTGGCCAAGAAAGAAGTTCACATTGTTGATATTTTATCATCTCTCAGCTGGTGTTTAATATAGAAGGCATGTTGAAAATGGCTAAAATGACATCTTTGGTCAGCTCAGAGAACTCACCTCCCATGGCATCCTCTCCAAATAAATTTAACTGGTCATCACTCTGTTAAAAAAATCACAGTATTAGGTGGTAATACTAACAGGTACTGTTCAAGCTCTTTGATAACATGAACACATTTAATCTCTCAAAAAATTATGAGGGGGGACTTCAGACAGTTTTATAAGGAACATTTTCCAGATGAAGAATTGAGAATTGCAGAAGCAATGCTGCTGAAAGTTCCATAGGGATGAGGGATTAGAACAGGTTTAAACTTGGACCATCTATCTCTGGAGTCCTCACTCTTTGTAAATGGTACTGTACCTAGCCCCATTTCTTTTTTTTTTTTTAATTTAATTTTATTTTATTTGAGAACATACTGTACAGAGGGGTTACAATTACATGGGCAGGATAATGCATACATTTCTTACCAAGCATTGCAGCCTCCTCCTTTGTTTACCCTTCACTTCCCTTCCCAGCCTCCCCCCTCCCCCTCACCCAATCCTTCCCCCCCTCCCCCCCCCCACACCGACACTGTAAAGCTCGTTTTTGACATGACATTTTGTACTTCTCATTGTTGCAACAGGTCCACCTGAATACTTAAACAACTTGTTTGTCCCTATCTCCTCCACAAGTTATACTGACATCAAATATAGTGAAAGCAGGGGTTACACTGTGGGGGAGGGACATACAAAGCAACAAAGAAATAATTTTATAAATGCGTTAGAAACACATGCATGAAAGAAACAAAAACATTAAAATACATATTTAAGGGTTCGTTTTCCTAACATCACATTATCTGACATTTTCCGCTTGACTCATACCTATACTAGATATTGCAAATAAGGGAAACCATGGGACCTATGTTTCTTTGGGCCTGGCTTACTTCACTTAATATAATTTTTTCCAAGTCTTTCCATTTCCTAACAAATGGGGAAATGTCATTCTTTCTGATGGAGGCATAGAATTCCATTGTGTATATATACCACATTTTCTTGATCCATTCATCTACTGAGGGGCAGCTGGGTTGGTTCCATATCCTAGCTATGGTTAATAATGCTGCAATAAACATAGTTGTGCTGGTAGCTTTAGTGTGGTCTTGTTTGTAAACATTTGGGTAAATGCCCAAAAGTGGGATTGCTGGGTCATAGGGGAGTTCTATGTGAAGTCTTTTGAGGAACCTCCATACTGCTTTCCAAAGTGGTTGAACAAGTTTACATTCCCACCAACAATGAAGTAAGGTTCCTTTCTGTCCACATCCCCTCCAGCATCTGTTGTTGTTAGAGTTCTTGATTTTTGCCGTTCTAACTGGAGTGAGGTGATATCTCAATGTTGTTTTGATTTGCATTTCTTTTATCTAGCCCCATTTCTTGATATATAAATTCTATGTGAACAGAAAAACTGACTTTAAGAAAATAGGATCTGGGCTGGTTAAGTGGTTCAAGTGGTAGAGCACCAGCTATGATTTAAAAAGATCATGGTAGGCTCCAAGTTCAAGCCCTAGTACTTCAAGATGAGATGCTTTGTTTGATGTCAGAAGTTGATGGGTAGTTGTGGTCATTAATGTTACAGAGAGAGAGACAGAGAGAGAGACACATACAGAGAGACAGAGAGACAGAGAGAGAGAGACAGAGAAATTAAACTACAGTTGGCACACATTGTTGGTAAAGGGTAAGACAGTACATATTGTGAGCTGCATTATCTCCATTACTACTGTTTTATCACAGGGTAGAGTTTGCTGATCCCTGGACCAAAGCATGAAATAAGGAAAGCTGCTGTGATCCATTTTTATTAATGGCTACCTTCAAACATTCCCATTTTATTTTTCACTAGGCACACCATTTTCCTATGGTGTTAAGTAAGGGGAAAATTTTAAGGAAAAAACATTTATAAGAAGGTATCCACTACTTTATCTTTTACTTTCTTACCCCTTATAGTTAAATATGTCTAGATATCCAGAGATGCACTTGAATATCTACCCATCTGTCTGTCTGTCTGTCTGTCTGTCCCGTCTGTCTGCCTGCCTGCCTATCTATCTATCTATCTATCTATCTATCTATCTATCTATATCTTTCATCCCCTATGCAAAAATAGCATACATTTATTACATGCATCTATGTTTAAAATATAATATTTCATAGTATACTGTTCTATTTGTCTTTACACTTATGAATAATTTCTAGAGAGTTCTCCACATTGATAGAGAATGTTCCTAGACAGAATGTTTTCAGTTGCAAAACAATTTGTTTTAAGGTTGGTACCATCTTTTGTGTGTGTGTGTGTGTGTGTGTGTGTGTGTGTGTGTGCATGTGTGCCAGTACTAGAGCTTGAACCCAGGGTTTTGCAATTGTGTGACTTTCTTGCTCATGGCTGGCATTCTACCACTTGAACCATACCTGTAGCCCAGCTTTTTCCTGGTTAATTGGAGTCTCTCACACTTTTCCATCCCAGTTGGCTTTAAACCATCATCCTCCAGGTCTCAGCCTCCTGATTACATAGGATTACAGGAATAAGCCATCAGCACCTGGCCATCATTATTTTTGAATTAGTCCTTTACTGATAGATCATTTAACTGTTTCTAATCTTTGATGATATTTGAGAAAGTGGCCCAGTGAGTAAATTTGTATTGGTAATGAGTGTCAACATCATTTCATGCATGTTATTCCTATAGGATATATTCCAGATGAGGAAGACCACACAGTCCTAGAGTAAATGTATTTATAACTAATTTTTGCCAAACTGTCTTCTTACAGGTTGTAGCACTTGGCAAGGACAGCTTCCGACTGTCACTTTACTGCAGACTCTTGTCTCTAATTCACTTTGATATGGACTCAGTTAAATGAGGCTGTCTGCTTGCATTCACACTCCCTTGAGGAAACCTGCCATGAAAGCACTTTGTTTAAAGACAGAGCTTTGCCATCCTTTTTAGTATATAGGCCTTCAGGAAAAATGGATTGCTTGTCTTCTTAGATTTGCCTGTATCTCTAGGGCTATTCTAATGGGAGAGGAGCTTTTAATGGAGTGGTCATTCAAGGACACATCTACATCAATTATTCCCCTTCTGTGAATGAAGAGAACACTGTTGTTCCTCAATAAGCCTCCCACCAGTTCCGACTCAAATCACTGCTCTTCAAAGTGAGAGAATTGAGATGACGTGATTTAGCCCTTCCACTCCTCACTCCCATTTCACAGATGAGGGGACTGGTGTTGGAAAGAGATGTCCTGTGAGAGGCACATGGCTGGCAAGGTCGGGGTGGAAGGGGAACCACACCTCCTACCACCTAGGGTGCTTCCTATGTACAGATTTAGTCTCCCCAGTGTAACTAGCATAGTGAATGGTGTTGGTGTACCACTGCTTTCCTGGCACCCACCTTCAGTTCCCTCCTCTCACTGCTGCAAAGGTTCATAGCAGCCTGGCCTCAAATTGGTACGATTTCATGGTACAAACTGTCCTGGAGCTCTCTGTATGGGATTGGTAAACGTGGGATGGAGCCAAGACTGCAGCTTTGTTTCGCTTTTATCTCTGCCCTGTCCTGCTTCTCTCTGCCCTTCTCCAGAGAGCACAAACTAGTAACCTACTTGCACAAGAATCCTCTTTGAAGCAATTAATATGCTTGCCTGTGATTTAGCTGCAGAATAAGAGATTCAGTGCTGTTGGCTAGAGAAGGAATCAGAATCTGCTGTTGTTTGCCAAATGGCTGTTAGGTATATCCAGGTAGTATAAAGAGGAAAACACTGAGTCCTTTCTTTCACTTTTTATTATCACTGTTAGATTACCAGATCATTCCCACCATACAGGATAGGCTGTATCTAATCTTCCTTGTATAGGTATCAGATGTTGGGCATTTGATCAAGGTTAATCTGAATTCAAAAAACAATGTACTACATGACAAAAGGGATTGTCTGACCTGTATCTGGCTTCTGAAATCTAACCTGTTTTTCTTCATAGTTCTCAACCATAACTCTATTTTTCTCAACCAAAGGCACTGAGTGAGTTCCAGTTCTATTTTCATTAGATTGCTGATACTGAGTAGATTTCTGGGGCATAGGTCAACCATCATTAGCTCTTAGGAAGGTCGTGAGCTGATATGAAAGCCGAGGTGAATAAATGGGATATTTGATCAGAAGGTGTTTTCCAGTGGCTCGCAATATATCCCATCGCTCCAGTGCAGATCTTTTGTATTTAAAACATTTTGGCATCAAGGGCTGAGAAGGTGGCTCAGTAGTAGAGCGCTTGCCTTGCATGCCTGAGGCCCTGGGTTCAATTCCTCAGCACCACATAAGCAAAAAGAAAAAAGCCAGAAGTGGCGCTGTGACTCAAGTGGTAGAGCGCTAGCCTTGAGCTGAAGAGCTGAGGGACAGCACCCAGACCCAGAATACAGGCCCCACAACCGGACCTACCCCCCCCCAAAAAAAAAAAAAAACATTTTGGCATCTTAAACAGAGAGGAACTTTTGGTTTTGGTCAAAAAAATGCCAAGCTACCCCTGGAGGCACTATATCACGTCTCTTTACAAATGTGAGGGGGTGTCGTGCATAAAAAGCATTACTTTCAGAGAGGCAATTGTGGAGTCTTATTCAGGAAACATCTAATAAGGTGTTCATGCCCCGTGGCTCTCAAGCTTTATCTTCAGCGAGGCATAACTTGAGAAATTGTAATGCTTTACCACTGAATTCCACTTGAACAGCTGTGGATTTTGTATGGTATATGTTCAGAGAAAGGAAAGAGTGACACACACACATATGAGAGAGAGAGAGAGAGAGAGAGAGAGAGAGAGAGAGAGAGAGAGAGAGGAGGGCTTCTTCCTGTCACAGCTTTTTCCACTAGAGGTTCCAGTCAGCTGGCTTAGAGTCTGCATTATGGAGTTAGGCTTTGTGGGCACAATGAGACAGGTGACTTGAAACTAGTTCAGGAAAGCATAAAAGGGATGCTAAAACTTCCTTTTTTTTAAAAAAGAGGTTAAAATTGCATTTATTGAGAAGTTATAGGCTGACCCTAACCTTAATAACATCAAACTAAAAGTAGTTTGTGGACAGAAGAATGTGCAAAAGAGAGTGCAGGAAAAA